ACTGTTAAAGGCTGGCACGGTACACTCACATAGATAGTGCTTAATACACATTTATTGTAGAGGGTAATCCCAGAACAATGGATGCAATATTTTAAAATCCATCTAGAGAGTATCCTAGAAATGTAACAACCACGAAAGCTATATTTTCCTTTCGGCTAGCTCTTTCATGTCTCTATGAATTTTACATTTTATAGAAGATTTTTGACATATCAAAACAAAACCACTGTTAATAGGAGTTTTCATTCTTTCAGGATGCCGAAAATAGTCAACTCCTTTAGGACAAAGACGTTTGCTAAGATAACTAGGCATGTGTGCCATATACTTTCTGGCTGAAACATTTGTTTCATGTTAACGACAAAGTTTGGTTATTTAGCGAATGTTTATATACAGAGAGAAGGATGATAAGTCATAATATCAGAAGGTGTTTCTAAAGCTTTCTAAAATCCTCTGACATAGGGGATGTATTAATATAAACCCAAATCACTATTATTGCAGTGCATTTGCTGTGGTTGCCTGGAATTTAAATGGACATACCAGGCAGAGCTCATCAAGGCAGATTTTAAAGACCTTATTAGGCAAGACCACTTCAGTTGAGTAGCGAACTTTCTAGCTCCAGCAAATGCAGACGCAGATTCAGATTATTTTTCCCTCTGATATAATATCGTTGGGCTTAATTCATTTAAGAAATATTTATAGAACACCTACTCTATGCAGGGCCCCATAGAGACACAAAGGTGAAAAACGAATGAGTTCAGAATTGAAGGTGCACACGGTCTACACCAATCCTGGGTAGCATCTACTGATGGCCATAGTAACAAATTTATTTTCCAGAGGTGACTGCTACAATACCTCTCATCCCACAAGTTCCTCTTGAACCTTACCACGTACCCATCAAGAGGCAGAGCATAGGTTCTCTCCCTTTGAATCTGGGTGAGTGTGGACTTGCCTGTAGACAACAGAATGAGACAGAATGGATGCTGGGGAACTTCGGAGGCTAGGTCGGGAAAAGCAAGGAAACTTTCACTTTACTCACTAGGACACTTGTGCTGGAATCCTGCAGCTGCCATGCTCTGAGGAAGCCCAAACTATCACTAAACTACAGGCCACAAGGAGAGGTTCTGAGACTACGTGAAAAGGGAGGGAGATGTCCAGCTAGCTGTTCCAGTTCTCTGCTGTTTCCATCTCAGTCACCATCTGACCACAACTGCATTAGAGACTCCAAATCACAGCCACTCAGCCCAGCCCTTCCCACATTCCTGACCCACAGAAACCATGAGATATAATGGTTTGTTGTTTTAAGGCACTAAGGTTTGTGAGATTTGTTATTCAGTAATAGATAACCAGAACATAAAGATAAATTGTTATAGGAATTTAGGGAAAGGAAGAAAATTACTAAATAGGGAGACCAGGGCACCTTCATGGCCAAGTTATCATGGAAATTGGGCTTTGCCAGGCAGGTGTGGATGGGAAATGGCAAGGCAGAGCAAGCGAAGGTCATTCTGTGTGAAGGGCGCAGTCCCAGGAAAGGTTGGGAATGAAAAATCCACAGTATGTGAGGTACAGAAAAGTGCTGTGGGAGATGGGCTGGACAGTGAGCGTGAGAAGGGTCTGTATCTGTGCTGCCCAACATGGTAGCCTCTCATCACAGGTGGCTGTTTACGTTTTAATGAATTAAAAGTAAACAGAATTCAAAATTCAGTTCATCAGGCAGACGAGCACATTTCAAGAGCCATGGGGGCTCGTGGCCACCACACTGGACAGCCCACGTTGCCACATGGGGCAGCACAGACAGAGCATCGCCATCACCCAGAGCTCCTTACCGGACAGTGCTGGTCTATGTGGCATTTCTCCTTGTTCCTGAGGCCAAATGAGGCACTACAGGCTTTTGAGGAGAGTGACATGCTGAGAGCTGTGTTTCAGGATGGCTACACTAGGGCTGCGTGTGGGTAGAGAGTAGTGAGCGGGTTAGTCAGGAGGCTGGGCTAATGAGGGAGGCAGGGGACACACTGGTCGTCTGCCCCAGTGAAGCACAGAATCGGGGGAACAGGAAGTCTGCAGGTTTCAGGACAGGCCAGTTGGGGGGAAAACAGACCAGCCATAGTTACCAGGTAGCTGGTGATTGACTTATCATTCCCTTAGGGTATTAAAATGGTTTCCTTATAGCACAGGGCTCACTGGAGACCTGCAAAAACCAAAGTCAGCATTAAAAGACCTGAAATAAAAACCGGGAGTCTGGAAAGTAAGAGAGCAGGGGTGAAAAGGGACAGGAGACCCAGGAGAGGGGACTGTAGGGGGCCCCCCGACACACACACCCCAGGTTGGGGGTGGCAGTTCACTGTGGCAAACACACTCACTAAAGCTCTGGAGGAGAGTGTCTTTTAGCCAACACTTTTAAAGTAGTGGAACAACTAGTAAAAAGTTAAAGAGAATTAATTACGCTAACTGAGTGCTCCTTTGTATCAGACCGAAAAGAACAGCTAATTAGAACAGCTACGTATAAACTCTCCAGAAAGAACACTAGAAATCATTAGTGTTTGAAATTAAAACACACACACACACACACATACAAAAATGGTTGAAAATAGATAGAATGAGCTTTCCAGAGTGTTTGCAAGGATCCAGATGAGATTTCCTGCCACTTCCTTTCCTGGTACCTACCACTCTGCTGTCCTGAATTCCAGCCACTGATCTTTTAAGCAGATGGACCACAGAATTCCGTGTTCTGATGCCTCCACGAAAGGCAACAGCAGACCTTCAGCAGCCTGGGCTTTGTACCAAGAACTCTTTCCCCCAAGGGAACTGAAATATTTCTTCCACTTGGCTCCTTCAGAGAGACCTAGTAAAGGGTGGACATCCTTGTAGATGCCCAGAGACCCTGAATCCAACCTATGAAGAGGTCAACCAAAGGTAGACACCCCCCTCCCATGCACAACATAGTGCTAAATTGTGTTATTTATTGAGGAAAAGTATGAAACACAACAGAATAGGTTCTTTGTGAGACTGAATAAAGAAACGTAACTCTTGTCCTAGAAGCCTATATGTTTAAGTAAGCCACATAAACTGACAATTCAGATGTGAATGTATCACTCTAAAAGGATGGCTGAATTTTGGAGTGAGAAACCTAAATAACAAACACACAACTTCTCCCGTGCAGGTATCCGGACGCCCCCTCCACACAACCTCTGCACGAGGGTTTCTCCATTCCCACTTCCACTGCAGGTACTTAAAATCCTTCCTGACTCAACTGGGATGTGTTTTGCTTAGATCGAATTGTCCCATGCCAGAAAGACTGATATCCTGTCTGAGAATAGGAGATAAAGAGGAACCTTTTGTACCGAGGATTAAGTTTAAAATAGTCTGCACTTTCCCTCCCTGTATAAGTAAAAGCATGAGAGAATGCCATTCTCTTATTTACAAGTATTTGCACTGTCCAGAAGTATCACTTTCAGAGCTCCAAAAAGGTCTCCCTCAATTTCTTTCTGCTGAAAAACATTACAGACAAGCCAACACTGGCAGTTTACTTTTTCTCGCTGCCTCTGTAAACATGCATATCTCTTTAAACAAATGCAAAAGAGCAGCCTTGTGTATGTGTATATTTCAAGACAACTTACTTTTATTGCAAAAAAATCGACCTCTCTTAAAAGACGAGAAATCTTCCAGGAACACGAGGGACCTTCCCCCAGCCCTCCTGGTCTTCCAGCACTGGCTGTCTCTAGTTTGGTTAGATTTCCCTGAGGCACCTTCGAATAAGATTGCTGGAAGGAGACGCACCCCATCCCGTCATGGTAAACACCTGCTCACATGGGTCGAGGTGGGACAGGGACTTCTCTGAAGAGCAGTCAGAGAATCATCATGTTAGCTCAGGCTCGCATGGCCCTGTTCTATGAGCTTTACGTAGAGTAACTTGTTTTCTCCTCACAACAAGTCTATGAAGTAGGTCCTGTTATTTCATCCCAATTTACAAATGAGGAAAGAAAGGCTTGAGGTCATCAGTGTTAAGCAGTAGAAGTGGGGAGTGAACCCAGGCAGGCTGGAGCCCAAGGCTGTGTTCTAACCACTACACCATCCTCCCTGTATCAGAAGGATGTGCATTTTATAAACCACCTCACAGAGAAACGGGAAACCACAGATCTCCTAACTTAATGTCGGCCTCTGTGAGACGTAAAATGGCACGTTGTGAAGTGCCAGAGCTCTGCAACCTACAAACACGTTACAGAGAAAGGACGAGGGCTCGGCTGGTAAATCAGGGCAGAGCGGATGTGGAATGAAGTGTCACCCCACACGCGGAGTGGCCGAGGGTCTCTGCTCACCGAAGACGGCCGGGCTCCCAGGCTGTCCTTCCTCCTCTAGCTGTTCTCAAGTCCTTCCCCCACGACAAATCATTAAGAGGTCTTTAAAGTTACTTAGTGAACCATGTCTTCTCACCTTCCCTTAAAAATTATGCCCCCATTCCATCAATAACTGTTTGCTTGAGGAAATTTATAACTGGTCTAAACAGTCGAGAAAAAGTGAGGAAATCATCGTCTACAAGTTTAATGGCACCCAGAAAAACCAGTGCTGTCTTTTGCACAGAGCTATGCTGAGAGGACACTGTACGGAACTGCACGGTAGGAGGCTCACAGAAGGGATACTATGGACAGGGAGAACATGCGCCGCCCAGGGGCCATCTCAGCACATCTAATGACATGAACAATGGCTTGTTAAACAACCTTTCCTAGGTCAACTGCTAAGATCTGGCAGCGATAACTCACTTTCCCTTCACAACTAGTGAAACCTACACTAGCATCCGATTGCCAATTTGCAGCCAGTCATGTTCTTTCCAGAGCCCTGAAACCTCGGAGCTGGGTCAATGCACTGAGGAAGTCATTAAGGGAGACAGGCCTGGCCAGCCCCACAGCAGGAGGAAGCCTGAGCCAGGGACCTTGAACAGAGGAAGGAAAGGGAGCCTTCAGAAGCGCAAATCTGAGCAAAGCAAGTGAGCATTGATTTTAGGATCTTACTTGTAGTTTTTCTCCCAGAATTTCACCGGCCGGACATATGATGTAAGGAAAATGACACTCCCAAGAAATGGGCTCAATGGAGTAGAAAAGACTGACGTGGCAATTGTCTGGAAGAAAAGCATGGCTGAATCTGAGAATGTTGAGTTAAGGCAAAAAAAATTCATTACTATATTTTTAAGATATTAGTTCAGATTTTGACTAGTTTTCATTAAAGCCATTTTCTTCACCAAAGAAAGAATAAAGGACATGCATTTCATCTCTCTATGTAGAGATTTAGAAATATAAAGCTTTCAGTAGTGCCCTGCTAGGTCTCATTTCACCACCACGTAAACCAACTAATTCTCATAAAAATCCCAGCGGTCTCAGTCTGATTCATGGCAAATATTTAATATCTAAGGATTGAAAAGAACAGTTTCTTTTCATTAAGATATCATTAGTTGAACAAAACACACTGGGGTACATTTACTAAAGTACAAAGTCACTTTATGAATAACTAAAATTAAATTATACTTTTTGAAAATAAACATATAGCATTATTTGGGAAGGTAGCCGTCTCTGTTTCTCAAAGAATCTTCTTCCATTATTCAAATATATATGTGTGTGTGTGTATGTGTGTGTGCGCGCGCGCACGTGTGTGTATCTCATGCATTGAACACTAATGGCTCAATTCAAGTCATGTCTGGTTTATAAGCAAAAAACATCTACACATCAAGTTACAGCATTTTGTGGGCCAAGTTGCCTCTTTAACATTCTTATATCAGTTTTGCCTTGGTTTCACACATCCTGGTTGCTCAGGGAGGTAATTGCTCCATATTAAACTCATTGAGGCTATCGTATTTGGCTTAAAACTCCAGCAATCCAGGGGAAGGATCCAGAAGCCGTGGTTCTCTGAATAGGCAGGTCTTCCCTGTCTCATTCCATCATTACAGGCTTGCGGCTGCCAATCGCGTCCCATCTCTGTGGTGCAGGGGTGCTGTGGGGTCTGTGGTTGGAAGAGCAAGAGAGAACCGATGGCCAGAATCTGTGGGCACGGCAGAGGTCAGCGGAGGGCCAGACTGCCCGGGTCCTACATATACACATCCTTCGTGTCCCAGGGGATGAGGACTTGATTATTCTACTACAGATCTGATCTGACCTCTGACCTCCTACTAGGCTGATCTTCCCTGCTGGAAGGTGGTGACGGTTGCATCTCTCTCACTGCTGCACTAATAGGGGTCTTATTTCTGTAGCCTGTGTTCAGAAAGTTCTGGCGGAGAGTGAAAACGAAACGCTTGGCACAGAAGCAGAGAAGACTCCGTGTCTCATTATCAAGAACACGGAAGTAACTCAGGCTGCTAAGTGCTTTAACATAACCAAAACATTAAGCAAGCTATGCAGTAAGGGTGCAATGGAAGAAGGGATTCCTTAATAGCCCCATTTAAATGTAAAATATAGAAAAGGGAGTGAGACTTGTGCTGTCCACACTTTCCCATACATTTTCGTAGATTTTAGATCAGATTTTTGCTTCAGATGTAACTATGTCTTTGTTTTTGCTTTCTAGTTACTCCCAAACATTTTCAGGAGTGAAATGACACATCCTCCATTAATAATCCATTCCAGTGTGGAATTGTTTAGGTATCAAAAAAGATCTCTATTGTGCTGCAATTTAAATCCAATTCTTTTTATTTCCACCTAGGTTCAAATAGAGAACTAAAGAACAATATGCTACTGTGATATCTAATATCACCCATCAGTTTCCTCTTCTGAAAGTTGAAATTACCTAAATATGTCTACCATGAAACACAACAAATTAGCTATGCCCCTTGTCACTGGAAGAAAGGGGAATTGCATGGGAGAAGTCACTGAGTGAAGGTATTGAAGAAAATATTAGAAAGCAGAGTCAGGTCAGAGGTGGAGTCCTGTGAGGGAGGGGAGGAGGGTGAATCCCCGCACCAGGCACAGAGGATGCTCTGGGGCTCGCAGAGGAATCAGGACGAAACCAAGTAGAGTCAGAGCTGAGTGGGGTGTGAGAGGGGCTGATATTGCTCTTCTTTTTCATTCTAAAATTTCCCCCAAAGGTTATGTCGTACATATTTTAAGTGCCAGAAACAATTATGTAGAAATTAAGAAGTGAGAAAATTGGCGCTAGCCTACAAATAAAGTTCGGTATGGTAGGAAAGGAAGCAAAGTTTAACAGATCAGAGGGAGGGCAGAAGTGAATAGAGAGGATATTTTATTGGGGGAAAATCAATAAAGAAATACAAGATGCCCTGGGCAAATACGACAGGCTGTCGCTATTACTGGTAAGGCAATGCCAAGAAATAGGCGCTCCTAAGACTAGCAGACATCTGAAACTCCCTTTACTTCTTTACAAGAAAAATAGCCAAGAGGGTAGCTTAAGAGATACATGGTGACTCTTTTAAAAGCACATTTAAAATGAAAAGGTCAACGTCAATAATTAAAAGATTTTAAAGCATTCATTAGAAGCTCAAAAGGGTGCTCAAAGTTGAAAGCAGCCTTCCCAATCTATGGGTTTAACAGAGATAATCTGGCTAAGTCTGTCTAATTATCAGGAGACAATGGTCTTGCGTGGACCCTACACGCATTAAAAGGGTGAGCATTCTCATCTCTCCCTGGAGGTTACAAGCTCCAATGCTAACAGAGGCTACAGAGGGAGAAAACAAGCTTGTACTGGAAAAAGCAATTTACCAAACAGTGCCCTGCTGGGCTGGAAGCTAATTCAATTCCAAAACAGAGCAAATTAGTCCCTTCTCAATGCTTAGATGGTGCCCACAGCTTCTTAATAGAGTGATAAAATAATTAACATCTCAAAATTAGTCAAGATCCAGGGCTGACATTTAGTAACTTAATAGCTTCCTCTGGTGGCATATATATCCAGTTTTCTCAACTATTTATCTCATTATATTCTGAACAGTATAACGTTGGCCTCCAAGTAGCAAATATCTACCTTTACAACTGATGAAGGATGGGCAGATGTCCATGGGTAAGGGGGAGAGGGTAAAGACCCTGTCACTCGGAACACAACGTCAGCGGCCAGCCTCCAGGGAGGTCAGTTCGAAGGCTCCATGTCTTAGTAGAAGGGGAGGAAGCTGGTGTCACTGACAGAGCCAGTTTTAGGAATGAAGCAAGGGATTAATTGAGTGTTTTAAAACAGAACTACGAAATGGCCAATAAAATCTGCATCTCAGACATTTCAATTTCATAAGGGAATGCGTCTACACATCTTGAAAGTGCTTAGATTTAAAGCACACTATGTGCAAACAGATAAATCCTAATGCTGCTTTTATTCTAATAGGATATATTAAGTGCCAAATATTAAGTGCTTTTGTGTGAACCCTCAACACACATACAGGGCAGGTAATTGAAAGTTATGGCTCCCCCGTCTCAGTTCAGCTGCAGAACTACAAGGACTAATTAGAATTACTGAACTCACCTAACCAGGCAGAAACAGCAACAAGAAACGCTGCAGAGAAATGCAAGTCCAAAGTTATGACAAAATTGGGAATCATTGCTTCAAGTTTTAAATTCTTAGTGTGACTCCTCAGCCACAAATGTGCATTAATCTAATCATTCTCACTGAATGAACGTGCTTTAAATTCTAGACAGGAAACTTTAGATACACGTCAGAAATAAATAAAAATCACCTCAATATTTCACCTCACTGTCTTTGCTTTAAAAGACTCTGTTCAGGAAAACAGAAATTATTGGCATTACAGAAAATGATTGCAGTGGAAGGGAAAGGGTGGTGCAGAAGCCCAGGCTTTTGCAAATTTTTCCCCCTTAACTTTGTTCTGCCAAATAACCTTGAAACACTTTAGAAATATCAGTGCAGGTCTAAGAATAGGAACACAGAACAATGTGCATTGTGAGATCAGCTCTCCGTATGCTTAAAAATATGTTTTTAAAAGAAATGAGCCTGGAGTAGAACATTTATAAAAATCTAGAATATGTTATTACTTAATGATTATCCCAAGTATGTTTCCCTCCCTGTACACAAAGTTCAGGTCCCAGAGATTCTTAAGAATGGTCTTAATGAGCCTTGTGTAAATTTCTTAGGAAGGAAAGCTATGAGTGGTCATTAAAACTAGCTCACAGCAGTCATCACGATTGCCAGAGTTTAGAACTGTGGTTCACACACACTAATGGGCACAAGAATCACCAGGGAATCTTGTGAAGGGGTAGATTCCAGAATTCTACTCTGTGAAATTTGAAAGTATGAGCTGGGCCCAGGAATCTATTTATTTAATAAATTCCTCCAAGGGGTTCTGATGCAACTGATCCTTGAACCACCTCTTGGGAAACACAGGTTTACAAAGTATAAATTCAGCAGGAAGGGAAAACTTTCAGGGCAAATTTTAAGACCGAGTCAATTTTTTAAAAATTAATCTTTCTTTTCAAGAGTACTTTTATCATTCTCTTTCTCTCTTTACACAGATGCATGCCACACACACACAAACTTAGCTATCGTGATCTTTAGAAGAAGCATCTCAAATTGGTTTCGAAATAAATTAAAATTATTATTATGTAAACACTTTAAAATATATAAGGAAACCAAAGCTTCTTGGCCAATAGCAACTGCAAAACCATAATTTATTTTTTTAATCTTCAAAAATATTTGGATAATTTTGTTGTACCTAATTCTGAGTTTTTGAATATAACTAAAGTATATATACCTTATAACCATACTACATAATAATATATCATTTATAATAATATACTGAACACATCAACCCCATCCACGTTTAAGAACAGCAAATCGATTTGCACTATTTTGTACAAGTCAACAATCATTTAAGCAGTAACTTTCCATTTAAAAGACAGGATAACTTCATGCAGACCTGGGCATGAGAAAGGGAAGGATCAGAAAAATAAAAGTAACTCCTGAATATGCATTAAGAAGCAGGAAGAGTTCACAATTAAGAAACATTGTTTAAGCTAAGTGGTCTAAAGGGAATCCAAAGTGCCTCCTCATGTCCCCATTAAAATGTAATCTTAAAGACTAAAATCTTTTCATTGCCAGGGGTCAATGAAAAGCTTGCTGCCGTAAAATGTGAGTCTCAGCTCGGGGGTGAAAATAGAAGCAGAAAGGATACGAGGGATTGCAAAGAGCTGAGCAAACACGTGAAACGAAGAACCCCAAGCCATCTGCCAAGGAGCCACATATGTCATGACGAACTGTAACTTGTGAAGCAGGTCCCCGAGCTGAAAGCAAAAGAAGAAAAAGATTCATCAGAGAGGACAACAGTGGTAACTGCGTCAAGGTCATTTAAAGGACATGTGTGACAGTTAGAACAGGACAGGGAAACTATTGTTTGCCTTCTTACTCTTACCTTCCTTTGTCTCATATGCAATGCAGCCATTTAATGATGTTTTAAAACAGCAATAGGCTGATCAGAAGAAAGCTTGCATGGTTAATCCCAACAGATACATTATTTCAACCTATAAGGGTAGTGTATCTCTTTGTCTTTCTTGGAGGAACAATCACAGCTTGGTCTTCCCTCCTCCATACTGGATCTTTTAGAGGGACTTCATACGGAAACCTGTCCACATTGACATGGTCGAGGTTTTGTATATTTATCTCATTTTACCTCTTTAGCAGCTGTTGCCGGAAAAAATAGCTCCACACTATTGAATCGCAAGTAACAAAGTACTGTAGAAAGTCAAGAAAGGATATGAAAGCTGTCGTGTTGGCTAGACAGGCCAGTGCAAGAAAAGAAGTAGCTCTGGGGAGAGGCAGAGAGTGGAGAGGAGAGACCTTACATGGACCAAGGACGAACATGGAAAGGTGAACAGGCTCGGTGGCTTCTGCTGGAGACTGAGACAGTGAATGTGCAGGGGAGGATGGAGAAGGACAGACTGCCCTGACTGCACACCTCTGCTTTATGGTGAAAAGTGACCAAAACTCTGCTGCTGTCACTTCTAGATTCAGTCAGCGTCCCACCAGGATGTTCCCCCAAAATCCACTCCACTCTTCATCCATAAGGGAAACGTCAAATGGCATGATGTGTTTGTTCTTAGACTGGCTAGCATTCAAGACAATAAATACATTCACCAAGGCCATGCATATGAAAAGAGAAGGAAAAAACCAGAATTTTTAGTTAGGCCCAATAGCCATTATACAGAACATCAGAAGGCCATGACGAGAAGAGAGCCAGGACAGGGAAGTAGGGCATTAAGGAAAGGTTTGCGGAACCAAGTCGACTTAGCCCTTCAGTGAGAAGCCAACCTCATGATTTTGGAAACAAAAGATGAGGTGGCTACAATTTATTCCATGAAAATGTAATGACGTGAAAAAGAGGTTAATGAAAATCCTCTCCAAATCTTCCCCTCATTTTTCTTGTTCTCACAAATATTCTGGTTTTGGAGAAAAACTTTAAAGTAAAATCAAATGTTGTCGGCTAGGCTGTGGAAGATGAAACAAGGGTAAAACGTCTCTCAAAGGCACAGCAAATACACACAATCCTTGAGAAGGCATCTGGTTACATATAGAACCCCTGGGTTCTAAATATGCGCACTTAGGACTCTAGTCACCATCCTAGCAACAGGGAAAGCTGAAGAATTATAGAGAGAAGAGAAGATGGCTAAGGGAGAGGGAAAGAAATAGGAAAATGGGGAGGATGAAAGAAGGGATAAAGAAAATAAAAGAAAAATGGAAGACAAAGGACGATGGTGTGACTAGGCTTGGGGAACTATAAAGGAATATGAATTCTTGGAACGGAGATGATAAGTTTGGTTTCCCTCATAACTTTTCACTTCCTTTTCTCTTGCTCACTTGCCTCAACTATAGAGGGTTGATCTCAATTGGCTTCCAAGTTCTCTCAGAAAGGCCACTTTGGTTTTAATCTTGGGGCTGGTTTAAGCCTCCTGAATCCATTCTGGATGGGACCTGCAGCACCTAGTGCCTTCGAGGGCCTGACAAGTGACAGAACAGCATTCTACTCTACTGTGTTAGCTGGACGTCCCAACTCGCGGGTTTACATACAATATGGCCTTTTCCTCATCACCTTATTTTTTACCAGTCAACAGGTGACACATATAAAGCAGGAGACTGGCAGTTCCAACACAGATTCAAACTCCTGACTCACTCTGTGAAAAGATATGATTTGCTCTAAAAGCCAATATCATTTCCACTCATCTCTACCATGAACCCAACCAGAGGAGGAAAATGTCAATTACCCTAAAGAAGACAAGACTTCTGGGTTACAGCAACAGCAAGAGTCCTGAGGAGTGGTGGTGGGCTCTTTTGCTCATGTAGACGTAACCAAACTCTATCAGACAAAACACCTCTGGATTTGAAACCCTCTAGTTGCCCCACTATTAAGAATCCATAGTCTAATTATTAAGAATTAATCTTGCGACTCATGCCTAGGTAAAAATGGCAAGCATGAACAAGATTACCTTCTGTGATGTATAGCCCCCAAATACCCTAAAAACAAGTGAGTTATGGAAAGTTACTCTTGTTGGGTTTCCTGTGCATTATCTGGGAGGCATTTAAGCCACCTTCTGAAAAAGCTGATAAGTAGGTCAGGCACAGCAACTACAATCAGACAGGCTGCCCCAGGGAAAGCTTCATCTGCAAGTTTGAAGCTCTAATAAGTTAAACTTTGCTGAGTTATGATTAAATGAATCTATTATAATTATTTTTGCTTAGCACAGCAACTTGTATTTACACATAAGCAAAACCAGTAATCAGACATCTAAGGATTCCAAGCACAAGCACTCTTGTGCTCTAATTGCAGCCAGAGTCTCAGGTATCTTTGTTCTTTTACTATGTGTCTCTATTCCATTTTTTTTTCAGGAATATTGTGAATAAAATACATGCTTTGTAAAAACTTCAACATGAAGCTTATAAAACAGACTCTGCTGTTCTCAATCATTGAAGAAGCCAGCTCTCCTGAATGTCAGTTCTTTATGTAGCTAGGATTCCTCCACAATACAGTAATTCAATGCTCTCCCACAAAACCCACCAGAAGAAAGCTGTGTTCTAGGTGAACCAGATGCCAGTATCTGGCAATGTTTAAGAGCATGGACTTGAGCGCACTCTACCTGGGTTTGAATCCCAGCTTTACCTCTGTTTATAAATTTCTGCATCTGTACGGTGGGAATGGTGATAGAACCTTCTCACAATGTCACTTGTGAGGACTAAGATGGTTTCATCTTGGTTAAGGACTTAGGACAGTACCTGGCAACTGTAAATGCTACAGAAGAGTTTGACAGGTAAATGTTAAGACAAATGAGATACCATATTGGGAGGATGTACTCTGCTCAGTAATTTTAGAGCCCTCTTCCCCACCTCAAACTGAAACTTACCAAGTCCAGGTGCTCTCATTTTCCAGAGAAGGAAACCAGGCTCAGGATTGCTTAGGTCAGACAGCAAGTTATTGGCCCATTTGAAACCAAAGGTCAAAGTTCCTGATTCTCCAGCTAGCAATATTTTTACCACCAAACTTTACCATACCTCCTCGAGGTCATGGGCCTTCTGTGAACTACAGTAACATAAAAAACCTGCCTGACACGAAGGAGGTCTGCCTACGGAAAGGTCTCCTTCATCCCAGCCTTCCTGCAGACAGCAGAGACGCAGGATCACAGCATGGACGTGAGAAAATAAGGCTGCAGCCACTGTTCTTCCATGTGCACAATGATGAAAGACCCCGATCCGCTCTGGAACATCTTTTTCAGTATAAATGCCCAATTAATAAAATATGATACCACCCAACAAGCTTGGTGACAGTCAGGGGATCTCAAAGAGGCAGACTGCTGGGTTACCTGTGCTTCCTGAATGCACAACTCCAAGAAGATTGATTTGGATCACATATTTTATTCTTAAAGTGTGGAGAGGCATGACCCAGGTTAAAAAAGATTAAACCTTCATATTTTCCCTTTACACTTTGTCCTTCTCTTTTAAGGGTGAAATCAGGTAAAAGAATGAAAAAGGCGTGTGTATCAAAACAGTGATTTCGAAGCACAAATGGAAACCTAAATATTAATTATCAATGAGAAAAGTATATGAAGAGGCACTTTATGTACCATATTGGCTATTGTGTATAAAATAATGAACTATTTAAGATAAGATTTAATGGAAACAGACATCAACACCTTTCTAGTAAGCGTGGCCTCATGCAGTATAACACTGTGTGGAAGTACTTTAAATAGAAATCTCATTTAGATTAGCTATGCATCTGCATCTTCTTAGACAGTTTGAGGTCTCTCTCTATGAAGCTTATCTCATTCCCAATGTTCTACTCCAAGATCTTAAATCTTAGTCCCATTTAAATGCATAATAAACTTTACAAGTTACTAGAGTATGACTATAAGGGAAAACAAAATAATTTGGGTCTTTTCCACTAAAAACATTAGAAAAAGAGTAGAGAAAGTCACAGTGGAGTAATTCTGGCTGTCTCCCAAGGAAAGACATCATAAATACTCTCACTTCAAATGATCTATTTTGGAAATATCTTTTCAATTAGGCATACAAACTGTTATTTCTCTCCTATAGATAGGAAACTCAATCTGTGTAAATCCACAAGCCATCTTAAGAGAAGTGTCACCAAATAATGGTGGCCCCAAAACATTTCCTTGCTAATACAAGGTATATGTCATCTTCACTCTAGGGCTCGCTCTGCTGTGCCCCCCGATGAAACAGATGACCATTTATTGAACTCTCTTAAATGTGGGCATTGTCTTAGGAAGCTGCACATACGCTATTCCATTGATTAAAGCACAATTTTCCCTCCCAATCCTAATCACCACCTTTTCTCCTGTTGTTCTAGCCTTACTAATCTCCCAGATTAGTTCTACCACTTGCCATTTTTTGCATTTTGTTGTCAGATTCAGCTAGTTTCCTTCTCAGGAAGATAAGCGTTCCAGTTAACTTCACGCCAAATTTGTGATGACTGATAACTTGAATTTGAAGGTGACTACAAGGCTGAAAGGAGTCACAGAAGGTGGCTGCTGAGGTAACAGGTGTGTGCAGTTCAAAAGGAGAGAAGAGTGAGGAAGCTGAGGCTTTTGAGTGCTTGGAACAAAGGTAGACAAGATGAGAAGAAATTTGGAGGTTTAAGGGGAACCAAATTAACGAATTCAGGAGGGAGCCCAGCTGAGGGATTAAAAGCCAGGAACAAAGGAACTGGGAAAAAATTATAAGATATTTTGAGGCATAACTGGTGATATGGAGAGAAGAATGCTTACGGAAGAAATGGAAA